AATGTTTCAAACGCTTCGGATGGATGGTGCTGTCAGAAGCTCTCTGAAGCACATTAGAAGTGGTGAATGTGATTATGACAGATAATATTTGTGTTTACGTTTAGAAACGTTGACTGTCAAAGTAGAGAATGTTCTGTTTATATAAACCAAAATACCAACATGGCGGGCCAAAATGCTGTCATGGCGGATATCTTTCTCATTAAACTACACATGAAAATATCGCGAAAACGGCTGGGAAAATCGGCAAAATGGACCGTGGTGTCACTCCCTAGAGGGAGTGTACACACCCGGCTGGTTTGATGGCCCAAAGTTCAAATCCGGTGGATTTGAGCTCATCCATGGGTTCTCGGGATTTGGCCTGATCCCAGCACTTGCCCTGTGGTGAAATTCCATACAAAACGTGAGTGTGACTTGTAAAGATGCTCACAGGAAAGGAAAAGCTGGGAATCAGACCAAATCCTGAGAACCCATGGATCAGCCCGAATCCACTGGATTTGAACTTCGGGCCATCAAACCAGCCGGGTGTCTACACTCCCTTTAGGGAGTGACACCACGGTCCATTTTGCCGATTTTCCCAGCCGTTTTCGAGATATTTCGATGTGTAAACATTTATTGGTTTTAATTTACCACTTAAGAGGTAAGTTTGGATAAATAGGATTAAAGTTCGAAATATTCCATCATTCTAAGATGCGCTCTTACAAAAATCCATCCATTCAGGCTCCATAAGAAGCAATGTATTGCTATCGGATTACGGGATATGATATTTCAATTGCGAATGAAAACTTCAACTGAAAATAAAGTAAACATTTCATAATAATTGATTCAATATTTAGCTTGTTACATCATGTACATAGAGTGTGAGAAAGAGATACACACATCCCGCACACATTCGATCGATTTCGATGATTCACGAGCGAAGCGGCCGGCAAATAATGCGATTTTAATTAGAGAATGGGGATTTCGACGTGCATTCAATGTTTGCAATGAATTTTAGAAAGAGAATTTTGACTGGGCCATTACACCTTGACAGTGCTGTGTGTATGTCTACCTATTTTTCGTGCAAGTTGTTCTGAACCATTTATAGCCAAATTATAAATGTACTTTTTGCCTTTGATTGGATTCACCGAATGCAAATAATAACTTTGCCAAAAGAGACACAAAGAAATCGGTCCAAAGCATTCATTTTATTTATTCGATGGCATAAATTATAGGCATTGCTTTATTTACAATGATAAATGTTGAACGTACGTCTGGTGAACTAAGTTTGTGCCACTGCTTTTGCTGCTACTGCTGCTGCTGCTGGCTTGAGCAATTAAAATTTGTACAATTTCCCAATTCATTTGATAGTCGCTTTGTTTTCCGAGCGATTGCCGTTATAGCGGATGAAAGGGCCCACATGCAGAGTGAACCAATAAACGAACAAACGAATGCGAAGCAAGAGTATACCATCGAAATGGTGTTGGTGCGGTGACGGTAAAGTCTAGAATGGCTAAAATATGGTTTGCGTTTTCATTTGTGCCAAACCATATGGGCATCGATGCACGAAAACTCCAGCCGAAAAACCACATTTATTAAGCTCAATAGCACTAAACATCTTCGAGCGAATGAATAACAACAATGAAACCATCACAAAAGACGCATTAAATCGCTTTAATGTACGTGTCGTAAATACTTTTGGGTGTGCAAATTACGAAGGATCTCTCTACCTCTCCGAAACTCTGTCACTTTCTCTCTCTCTCTCCCTCTCACTCTAGCCGCCGCTCTCACGTTCTCCGTATGTGTCTATGCTTTGCTGGTCGTCATCGTCACCGCTATCACAAAGATAGATTGCACAAATCGATTTTGTGTTTTTGCCATTAGCATAATATGAACAGAGTTGCGCGCACCTTCAGTTCCTGCCCAAAGCCTCATGAATTCGACAAATTATTTCGATGAGTGCGGATTCTTTGCACACAAACGAACGCAACAACAACAATGACCGCATTCATACAAATACACGTCGAATTCCCAAAAGTCTTGAAACTCAGTTCAGTCTGTGTGCTAGGCTGTAGCACCATATCAAATTCAAACTCAAACACACAAACATCTTATTCATCGTAACAAAAGGCAACAATGGCTGTGTGAAGCGCACTTCGGTAAGAACCGATTTTCTTTTGACAATAATATTCGACATTCATCTGCTTTTTCCCGTCGTGCAGTTATCTCGTCGGCGGTTCGCTTCAACCACTCTTTTTCTCGATTCTTTTTTTTTCTGTGCGTGTGTGTGTATGTTATTCTTCAAGATATCGTCAAACACAAAAGCGTTCAAATCAAACACATATATTCACACTGCTTCGTTTGCAGGCTATTTAATTTCATTGTCATTGAGCATTTTCAAGCAGCGTCGGCAAGAGCGGTAAGCGTTTACCTATCAGAATAATGTTCGATTTGCATTTATCAAATAATCGCATACTATGTTTTGAAACCGCTTTACTCCCCCAGCCCGTTCGAACGTACGAACACCATATTGATCCAAAATTGAACAAAAGCATTGCCGATGGGATTTGTGATTGGAAAAGTGCTTTGCATTGTGTAAAAGTATACGGCTTAAAATGTCACATGATTTACGTTTGTCACGGTACAATAAAGTTGTTTTTGTAATGTTATTTTCTCCTATCTCTCCTGGTGCTCGTGCTCGACTTCATGTCGAAAACCATTCGCACGAAAAAACCATTTGACGCATTTCCTTTTGACTGTTGCCATGTTGGTGTGTGAGTGTGTGCTAACACAAGTGAACGAAAATTAACAAGTGATGTAAATAAGTTCAATATTTCTTTTTTTTCTGCCATTCAAAACACCCAAAAACGAGCTAAATGTTAATCTAATCTTCTCACTGGCTACCAACCAACCAGTCATTTTTAATGGGCACACAGCATTCGTGCGTGCGAGATGCGCACCTGCTGATGACGATGGCACTTTTCCTTCACAATAACGGACCACTCCGGAACGCGATGAACTGTATATTAATTAGATTTATAGTGTTGCTTCGGTTCAACATTGTTCATGAGCGCACACGGGCACGGGCATGCCGATGTTTTGTCGAACATTGAGACTTAATCGTAAAATACTCTCGCGCAGCGATTATTTCCTTGGAATTCATTAATTTTAATCATTAGTGGCCCGAAAAACCCACGGCGACGACATTTAATCGCCTTTTATTCGGTTAAATTGTTTTCATGCACTGAATTAAGTAATTGCTAACACCACTGGAAAACTACCATCTACGATGCTCATTTGGAAGAGCGATTAAAACAAAAGGTATATTTCGTAGTATACAAATGTGATGAGGACCACAATTTATTTTGTATTTGTCGCCTGTTTGCGACACAAACACACAAACACACAACGCTTTTAAATGCTCTCCCATTGCTAGACGATTCAGCGTGAATAAATTCCAAGAAATATCTAAATATTTATTTGGGATTGAAATCAGATGGGGGAGAAGAAGCGTAGGCAGCGACAAACGGTGATTACAATGACACAGTCAGTGTCTGATAATTTAATGCACGGCAACATAGAGTCTGTTTAGCAACATAAAATACTTTTATGTTCAAGTGTTGTCAAGAATGAGAGTGAGAAACATAAACGAAATGTTGAAAGATTGCAAGTGGTAAATGTGGGGTATCATCGGTTTGGTATCAGATTGTGCTCCTTATCGATCATAAAGATGTACACATTTGTAATTGTAATGCAGAAACCAAACCGACAGAGAGAGATGAAGAGAAGGAGTAGATGAAATCGATCGAAAATCGCACCCCACGTAATTATTTACCGAAGTAGACACTCGGAAAATTGTTTTCGTTCGACTTCGGTTCGTATTACTATGCATTGCCTTGAAAATGAAATCACAAGTGGTTTCAATTATCATAAAACTGTGATTTGTGCGTCTGTCTTTTTGCAATTGCTTGGTCAATCGTGTACGAATGAATGTTGGCTTTTGGCTCCAAATGCAAAATTAATGCTGCAACGTCTGATCCATACAACAATTTTGTAATTGTGGCATTACAATCGAGACACTGAATCCCCCAAAAACCGATTCATGATTGGAAATGTCTGGAATTAAGGTACCATAATTTATGAGAACTCATGGAAACTCATTTCATTGTTCGATTCGATTCGATCCACCGCAAATGAATTCTCGTCTACGATTCTACCATAGCAATTGAATGTAAAGCTAACCTAAATTTTTGTTGATGCATGCTTTTTGTGTACCACTCTCTCTCTACTCTTTTCTCTTGAAACATTCGCTTGTTAGTTACAAGAGTACTATGGTTTGTGTTTCCAGAATCAAAGGAATAGTGGTACTTCAATCGTACTCCTATTGATTTCAACATTTTCCCACTTTCAAGTGGGTATTCATGCGATAGCTCTAGCACATCATGGATCATTGATATATCCGATTAAATTACATAAGTTTTGAGTTTTAATCATAATTCCGCAGCCTGAAATTCAACAGCACTTGTGCATCTTTTTTTCTTCCTTCGACCCGATTCTCGGTTCATAGAATTTTACGTTTATGATGCAATTTAAAACTCAACTTTCAAGTATTTTTCACCCAATTATCCGTGCCGCTATTATACGTGCATGAAGTGGCCATTCGCCAATAAAAATACGGAACGTCAGTAATTCTTTGATACAAAAACAATAAAAAAAACACACAACCAACACGTCGCTACACGATGCCATGCTATTTGTTCGTTCTTTTTTATCTGCTGACTTTTCAACGGCAAAGGTATACGATGTATGTGACTGCAATAATTCAGCCGAGACTTGAAATGGCATTTTATATTTATCGCTTTGTTCCGTCCGACAGATACATAGACAAAGACAACATGTATAAAAAAAAACCCGGTGACTGAGGGAAAACACAAAAGTGAGCAAAAAAAAAGAATCAACAACTGGGTGAGAGAGAGACGACGGCTATTCTACATATTTATTTAACCGGTTAATTTATCACCTACCTGTTGGACCCTACCGGGGATGTTGAATATGGGATGCCCAAAAATGCTTCGATCGGACGTAAAAATTTATAGCTATCTAATGGCAAGATGAGCCCCTGCAGTCGACCGTACCGCGTCTGCACGATCCTCGTGCCGAGCCGTGCATTTTTATATAAATCTAATGTGGAGCACGTTGCCAACTTAATAACAACCAATTGGAACAATAAAATTGAACCACACAATATTTTCATAGCATTTAACACCATTTTTAGCAATAGTTTACTTTTTTTACTATTCGCTTATTATTATTACTCTCTCTTTTTTTTCGGTTTAACACACTTAGTTTTTTTTGCCCTTATTTTATTGAGTTTTTGTCTGTATGTATTCCTATTTTTTGTTGCCCTCTGTTTATTTATAATTTGAAATTTTATTGGTGATTCCGGTGGTGTCAATCGAATGCCAGCACATTCGAAATAGTCATGAAAATGGATATCATTGGGCGAAAATATTTTATCGACTGTGAAAAACGATTCAATTTTCCAGCGCGCAGGCTATAAATACTTGACAGATGTGTAATAAAGTTGCCGACGCCGCCATTACTGCTGCTGCTGCTGCTGTGAAATTCATTCACGAAATTCGATGAAATAATTCAATTTTGCGTTATAATTATTAGCATTCCACTTTTTATTTTTATGTTCTTTTGTTACTTCACGGGAAATTTTTTATTCTTTTTCATTCGTGCTTTGTTTTGTTGTTGTTATTTTTGGCATTAAACAATTTCTTAGGAGTGAGTGATGAAAAATGTACACATTCTACGATCGAATTGGACGTTCACTTGATTTTTTTTTGGCGAGTATGTTCGCAACCGTTATCGTATTCTTCACTGTCGTCGAGTAGTGTGCAGTGCACATAGAAAAAAAACAACAACACAGCAAGAAAAGACCGTATGAATGCGGGTAATTAGTATTTATATTGTTCAAAGTTAACACATTTATTTGAACACCGTTGAATTCAACATGCAAGTCGATGTGCTGAAGCACGGCAGTGAATGAGCATAAAAAAATTGAAATGTTCGCCCGTCGCTACTTGATGGCCCTTTACATTTCACGGCGCTATGTTGCTCTTGGTCGAGTGTGCTCGTTTTTTTTATGTTTTCGCTGTGAATTTGCTCCAAGTGTAATTTAGTACATTGCACATTAGTTCAATCATTCGTTTATGTGTTCAGTTCGTGTTGGTTTTTTTTTTCTTCTTCTTTCACTTTTTTCTTTTTCTTCTTCTTTTGGCGGTGGTCTTCTTTGTCTCGTTTCGCAGTTGCAGCGCACACAAGTAAAATTTAACGGTGGCTATACAAAACGTCGGGGGCGATAATGGCAATTGGTCTTCGTCGTTCTGACGATTTCTTTTGCCCACTGTTTTTTTGTTCTGTCTCACTCTTTCTACCACTTCTTGATGTTTTCTCTGTCCGTTTGTTCGTCCGTTCTACTTTTTTTTTATATGGAATAGACTTTAATGGTAATGTCGCGCTGGTGCTTTTTGTATTATTGCCACTGACTGCTGTGGGTAATCATTAAAATCTCGGTACGCTTTTTTCTCTGTTCCCCTGAGTTGTTTGTACATGAGCACATTTTTCATTTTACGTTCATTTCGCTCCAGAATGTGTTCTCCCTCTCTCTCCCGCTCTGTGTATGTGTGTTTCTTTTTCACTTCATTCACTTCGATATAACCTTTTTGGTTTAGGTCAAGGGTTTTCAATGTGGCTGATGATAATTTGCCCGTGGCGATGCAAAGTTTTGTGAAAATCCACAAACACAAATAATTGATTCAGTTGTGGTCGTTACTTTTATTCGCACGTTCTTTGTGGAAGTCTTGTGTTGCTTTTTTTCTGCAGTCGTGTTCTTTGTCTGTGTTCTTTTTTTCTTCGTTAAAATTCACACTGGGTGCAGTCGGTGTCTTGATGTCGTTGCACGTTTAAATTCGTATATTTTAAATCGAGCGGACGCCTTGTCGTCCCCTTTGTTTACACTACTTTGTCTCGTAGCAGCACGTTCCCTCTAGAGATGACCACAAAGATGCAGGTCAGTATTGGTGAACGAATGTTTTGTGAGGGCGGTCTTATTATCCGTGTGAAAACATCATGACTGTAATGTTTTTATTAGCCGAAATTAATCACAGTTGATAAATAGACGTGTGACAAAGCATTTATCGTGTTTGCTGTGCAAATTTTTTTTTTCACTTTGTTCAAATTTTATGCATGACAGCGATTAACCTTTTGCAAGCATTCATTGTCATTAGCAGCAATGTAATTAACAAAGTGAAATGTTCGCATAATCGAGCACTTGATTTATTTATTCGGGAGGTTTTTTTTGTTGTTTCGTGCCGTTTTTATTATGAACTCACATCAATCTATTTTCGACATGTGCATCATTTCAACGTGTTTTTTTTGAATGAGCAAAAAACTCGTATTTATTAAATGCCACTTGATTTAATTGCGCTGCAAATTTTAATTATTCAATTTTAATTAAAAAAACGCTTTGTAATTTATCGCTTGGCAGTTATGCTAATGATTTTGTTTCGTTTCTGACGATAGTTTGTAATCAACATTCGGTGTGTATGTGTGAATTCGTTATTAATTTGATGGATTGTTATTCGATAGACTTCTATTTCTTGGTATTAGCGCTATAATTTTCAATTAATTACTCAAATTTCCTAATAACTCGCGATGTGTTTATGATGTGCAATCAAGTAATTGATTGAATAGTTGTTTGGCTTAGCGTTTTGTTGGAAAAGTCATCGAGTAAAACTTCGCGGGCGTAAAGAGAGTACAAGTTTTTGGAGTGCGCGCATTAATCGAAATTGGCCGTGGGGAGAAGATTGACGATGACAACCGATTGATGACTGAATATTGTTGTTGAACACGAGCGCAATATGATGATTGAATCAATAGATCAAGTCTCGCCTCGTTTTTCGCTCAATTCACGCAATTTCCCCTTTTTTCCCGTCCGGCTATTGATACGCTCATTTATTAACGAAATACTTGAGCGGCGTTTTTTTTCCTCTTCTGTGTCGCACCAAAATAATTTATGGTTGGTGTAATCAATTAGAGCCGAGTTATTATTTCTCTCTCTTTTTTTCGATCGGTCTTTTCCTCTCTGGAATTGTGTGTATGTGTCAATGGGAATGTACAAATTTCGTTAATGTCAGTACCGCAGGGAGAGCATGTATTGACTGATATGCAGGCCAGAAATTCGAATGCGTGTTTTGATAAATCACCTCTTTTGTTTAACACTGTCGCAAGCACCAAAAATCACGCTTTTTTCCTACAGCTTTTTCATCATTCGGCCATTCCGAAAGTGGCAATTTTTCCCTATCGGTTCAATGATTTCATTGCAAAATATACGATCGCGCGCATGAGAAAAAAAAATCGATAATCTATTGTTTTATGCTTAATCCAGCACAATCAGCGGAATACTTTTATTTGTTTAATAACCAATTTCGTTGCAGAAAAAATGTTTCGGCTCGTTATGGTTTCAGGATTTCGACGAATAAATTTATTTGGAAAATTCAATTGGCTCCTAAAATGGTTTTTTTCGTTGGTTGACCAGCAAAAAACTATTTTTGCGCTTGAAATTTCGAACGAACACCAAATTCCGTTGATTCGCTGTAGGCGTGGTTTTTTTGTAAAATTCAATGCACGCAATTCAGTTCATAACATTCCAGAAAAGAATTTAAACAATTCTATTATTCGCATTTTGCTTTATAATAGCATAGCAGGTATCGAAAATTGGATTTGAATGTAATGTGCGGTTGTTATTTAATCCATTCCTCAATTTGATATTTAAATTTTCAAGCCACGTCCTGCGTCGATTCACTGATGAGCCTCATCAACATTATTCAGTTGGAATTCATCAGCAGAGTGTTGTTGCAACATCGGATATTTCCTAGAAAATAAATAAATCAAAAGCGAATACTAATTATTGAATGGGCAATATATTTCATGAAGTTTGAAAGTCATTTATAAAAAAAACGAAATTATTTCGTTGATTTCAGTAGTTTTGACCAAAAGATATGCGAATTTATGTGTGTGTTGAGCGCTCTTCGTGGAAGTTATGGATTGTAGGAAAATCGAAAATTGTTTGAAACTCTAATTAAAACTACGCATACTAGTATCAAATAGGTTGTGAAAAACATTCACTCTTTGCCTCTCTGTCTTCCTCTTTCTCCCTCTCTCTCTCTCTCTCTCGCTCTCTCTCTCTCTCTCTCCGTGTGTGTGATGGTGACTAAATCGATGCACTGGTTTCAAATTACAATTCGTTTCATTTCACATTAATGCTGTTGTCGTAAACCATGAACGCGCATAAATTCACTTTATACATCACATCTCGAACCCATCCATTATTCAAGTTGTTTAGCAAATTTTGCAACTTAATATGCACTTGATTGCAGCGCAAACATTCGCAAACGTTAATAAGTGTACAATAACGGCAGTGATAATGAGCATCATATAACATTATCTCATGAATCTTATGAATACCAGTAATTAGAATCAGCGCCAGGAGCAGAACACATCATGAGTTTGGGATGTGAGCGTAAGTGTATGTGTGGAAGTGTGTTTGTCAGTAGATATTGTCCGTATGACAAGAGGAGCAGCATAATGTTTGGCATGACAAAGTGCAGAAAATCAAAAGAGCACATTAAAAACGACGCCGTATCTGCTATTCATCAAGCGATAATATTCAATTAGGTCCTTCTGAATTGCTGCCTTGATGATTAAGATGCAGCACAATGGGATATAATTACAGTGACGTTGCATACAGTTAACGACTTACAATGCCGTATAATATGGTGGCGTGCTTGCTGAAGAGAGCTAACACACTCTCGCCTCCGTTCACTTGGCTGTTTGAATTCATTACGTGTTCAACACTTCGTAGGAGTTTCTGGTGCAATAAACTCCGATATACACGATGGGATGTGTTTGCAGCAAAAAGCACAAAGCAACGGCCAACGACTTGAAAAGTCAATAGGTGCCATTTGTTAGAACCTTTTTGGTCAGAAATTCGCATTGGGGCTTGGGACTAGCCAGACGGCTCGTACTATGAATTTCATGAATAAAATGGCTGGCAAAAATTGATATGACACAAAAAAAAAAAACTTGTTCACGACTAAACTTCATTAAAATTACACGAGTTTTGCCTTATCTAAGATGACATGTTCAACACCATCGCCCACATGCATAATTCGCATGTAAAATTTTGTCGCCGTGCAACAGTAGCAAAAACAACAACAAAATGGCAAGTGTTTCTTTCATCGCCTGAATCTCATTTCATAGTGCATGGCAAAGGTTTTCATGTGTATGTCTGTTCTCTTTTTGGGTTTTCACTTGATTTTCTTGTTAATCTTATTTTGCTGTGTTGAATTTGGTTATCACATCATACTTTTTTTTTTTTCTTCAGTTGTTCAGTATCTCTTGTTCAAGGAGATGCTACAGCGATGGGTCCCTTAATATGTAATCAGAATAAGAACAAAGCAGACCACGTATTTGTGTCGCTCACTTCAGCGCAAATCCACTTTTAAACCGTTATTCGCAGGCAAAAATGACAATTTGCCCGTTGCTCTAGTTGTCGTTTCTCATGTCTCATTTTATATTCGCCCAGAAAATGTAACAGCAAAAAGAAGAGATCAAAAACTTCCATTAAGAGACAAAGCTAGAGCAGAGAGAAAAATGTTGGCATGTAGCAGAAAAAAAAGCAACTACGATGCTAAAGCACATTGAGTAGAGACTAGAGAAAAGCTGTACACGTGTTGTTGTTGTTTTTATTGTTCGCTCGCCTGGAAACGATAAAAAAAAGTAAAAGTTCGCCCAGCAAATTCACTACGTTTGTCAACCTGCTCGTCATTCGATGCGAATACGTTTATCTTGTTTCTATGGTGTGCCAGCAGCACATGTATGCGTATTCAATGGAATTACGTTTGATAACGTTTACAAATTCGTTCGGAGTTCTGCATTCTGCTTGATACGACACAAGGACAACTTCTTATGTGTAAAAATAGCCAATTGAAAGCTACATACATGGTATAACAACATCAGCAGTAGCAACAACAATCTGTACCACCACCATGACAACGATGAGGACATGTATATCAAACTGACACCAATGTTTCGGCGAAGGTGAACAAAGTCAAACTCAAAAAAAAAGAATAAAAATCCAACAAAATTCAAATTTGACTTGACGAAAAGTGAAAAAAAAAGAGATAACGACCCAACAAAAAGCATAGCAAAAAAAGAAAGAACGGAGCGTGCAAATCTCGTCTGCTCCTCATTAAACATTATTCGAGAGTTTATATTTTAATAAATAAATAGAGCTTAACGTTGGATAACACGAGAAGATGAGACGAATAAAACGATGTGACAACGTGCGACGTGAAAAAATGTGGAACTTTACAGACGATGCACAGCTCGGTAAAACGAACGCATAAAGAGCAAGAGAGAGAGAGAGAGTGCAAGAGAATGTTTGATGGAAGGGCGACAAAGTGAAATATTCCGTTTTTGCCATCGACTCAAATCGACTTCACAAACACCACATTTGCTCTCCATCTCACTCACTAACTACATTCCAACGCAGCAAATTCATACGCAATTTTCACACGAACCAAAAGATGAATGCTAAAGTTGGTCGACCGAAAGTTTGTAGACTCTCTGCACGTTGTCGCATTCAATCCGAGATTTTGAACGACAATTTAAAATGTTGGCAAAATTCATTTCATTAACACTCGAATCGTTTTTTTATTTCTCTCTCTCTCTCTCTCTCTCTCTCTCCCTCGATCTGTCTCTTGGTCTTGTCGTTGTCTTTTGGTTTGCTGCGTTTTATTTATTTGCTGTTGTAAAAAAGCAATTCAACATTAGTACATTGCACTGGAAGTCCCAGTCAAATTGTGGCGGATCCAAGCACATTTCAATGCTCAAGAAAATGTCATTTAATGAAATTTATGTCAAATAGCGCAAAATATTTTCGCCCATTATTTTCTCTTCTTTGATTTTCACCATTTTTTATACTCCACTCTTGGAATTGGACATCAGAGTGTTGAGGGTTTCGTTTTTTGTGTGAGTGTAGTTGCAGTCAAAGTGTGCAGCAAATTGCGACCCAATTGAAGTAAACTAACAGCTTCAGTCGTTGGATTGTGCGGCAGCAGTTGCAGAAGAAAGCGAATAAGCTAGATAAAATGGAATGCTATTCGTTCAGCCAAATGATATTCGGATGCTGAAGCGAATGACATGGAACTAGGACGCTCCATAGGACCAACAAGCGACGACAACGACTACGACGCAGCTGACGACGATGAAAAAAAACGACGGGATTTATATCATGGATTTATTTATATTTTCTCTGCTTTGCTCATCTTTTTTTTTCACTGTCGCTCGATTGCGACTGTTCTGTTGCGAGACAGTGTGTGATGTGACAAAATTTCAAAACACTTAGCCAACGAACGATTGAACGAATGAACGAACGATCGGCATGGCATAAAATACCATTTACAAGGTCATTAAATCACTAGCGCATATTCAAGACACACACACACACACACACACACACACACACACACACACGCACACACACTGTGGTACCAACACAGAAAAGACAATCAGATTTGAGGAGGCAGTGAGCGGCTCGGTATGGGCTTCAGCCGGGAAACTGTCAACTTTGATTTACTATCAGATTGAACAAGTTGAGTCGCAATGCCGAGCGCAACACACTCGGACCATTTAGTTGTTATGCCATTCGAGCGTACCAATAGATTTAGTGCCAAAGTATAGCATTCAAAGTAGCGCTGGGATCAAAATCGAACACAAAAACCAGCATTGCCATGAGAAAATCTTCTCAAGCATTCAGTTCCAGTTTCTCGTTTCGATTTAGCATTCGGCTCAGACGATCCCATTGAATTGCGAACAGTGTGAACGAAACGCTTTTTTTTTGTTATGTCTGTAATGAAAATCCATCGCTCAAAGTTATGGACTAATGCATTAGTTGGATGGAGAGAGAGGCGAAGAGGGAGAGAGAGGGAGAAGAAGAGTGCCGCTGGTAACGAAAATCACATATACACCAAATTCATTGGTAACGGCAGACAAAAATTGAATCCTTTTATCACAACAGAGAACTAGATCTCATTCCGCATTTTGTCCCTATGCACCCGAGATACACAAAACACTCCATTAAAATCCCAATCACGAGAATTTCACCGCTATAACGTGTCATAGATCGCAAGCGTATATCCATTGTGCAACGCTCCGAGTGATATACAATAGTGGGTTTTAATTAAAAATAAAAAAAGGATGCCGAGAGAATGGGATAGGAAAATGGGTCCCACAATCTATCGACATGCAAATAAATCAATCACAGATTCGAATCTCTTTTTTTGTGAAATTTGTTTTGGTTTATTTTTATGTCATGCTTTTATTCCGTTTGCCCACACGTTCTGAATACAATTCAGAGATTTTTCATGATTGATCATTGTTTGTTCATGAGCTTTCCATTGCGCTTTGTTTCATTCGTTCGTTGGGTCTGTCAACGGCATACACGCGCACGCACAGAGAGAGCGAGAGAGACAGAAATAGGGGAAAGAAAGAGAAAACTGTCTCATATAATTGTATGATTGCTCACAAAATTGATTTTTCCCTTATCTGATATAAGCCCAGCTCATCAAATACACTCGGCGCTTTCTTTTACTCTCTCTAGATTTAAGAAATGGGATTAAGCTGCAGAGCAAAATCTTAAGCAAATCGCATCCGATCAATATATTACCCAACAATCAGCATCCAGCATAATAATTTGATCTGATCTTATGTTGCCTTGAATTAGCATTTATTGAAAGAAGTTGAATTGTGATTGTCTCTCTTCTGTTCCTTTCTCTACAGTCCACAGTGAAACCAACATTTTTGAATACC